AGGAGGACTCTCCGCTGGGTTAAAAAGTGGCCGGAGGCCGGGCCCAGAGAGTGGTGGGGAATGGAGTGAGATGCAGTTGGCGGCCGGTCCCCAGTGGTGTCCCCCAGGGCTGGGGACTGGGGCCGGTTCTCTGGAACATCTTTCTGAGTGCTCTGGAGGAGGGGATGGAGTGCACCCTCAGTCAGTTGGCAGAGGACCCCAAGTTGGGTGGGAGTGTGGCCCTGCTGGAGGGCAGGAAGGCTTTGCAGAGGGGCCTGGACAGGCTGGCTGGATGGGCCCAGGCCCATGGGATGAGGTTCCACAAGGCCTAGTGCCGGGTCCTGCCCTTGGGTCCCACCAACCCCCTGCAGCGCTCCAGGCTGGGGGCAGAGTGGCTGGAGCTGCCTGGCAGAAAAGGCCCTGGGGGTGTTGGTGGCCTGTGGGCTGAACATGAGCCAGCAGTGTGCCCAGGTGGCCAAGAAGGCCACCAGCATCCTGGCCTGTGTCAGGAACAGCGTGGGGAGTAGGACTCGGGAGGTGATGGTCCCCCTCTTCTCAGGCACTGGTGAGGCCACACCTCAAAGGCGGTGTCCAGTTTTAGGCCCCTTTTCCACAAAAGAGACAATTGAGGTGCTGGAGCGGGTCTGGAGAAGGGCAAGGAAGCTGGTGAGGGGTTTGTAGAATAAGTGTTATGAGGAGAGGCTGATGGATCTGGGATTGTTCAGCCTGGAGAAAAGGAGGCTGAGGGGAGACCTTATAGCTCTCTCCAACTCCCTGAGAGGAGGGTGTAGAGAGGCACGCATTGATCACTTCTCTCAAGTCACAGGTGACAGGCCTAGAGGAAATGGCCTCAAGCTGCGTCTGAGGAGTTTCATACTGGATACTAGGAAAAATTTCTTCACTAAAAGGGTTATCAAGCCTTGGAATGGGCTGCCCAGGGAAGTGTTTGAGGCACCATCCCTGGAGATATTCAAAAGACAAGTTGACATGATGCTAGGGATTATGGTTTAGTGTTGGTTGTTTTGGGTTTTGTTTTGGTTTTTTTTTAATGGTTGGACTAGATGATCTTAAAGGTCCCTTCCAACTTAGGCGATTCTGTGATTCTATACCTCTTTCCCATCCTTGTTGAGCATTTCTGCCATATGCACTTCTGATGCACTGGTGAAGCAGCTCCAGGTGCTAGACCAGCTGAGATCAAATCAAGAAAATTGATCAGATTTCTGCTCTTCAGACTAATTACTTTGGGCCTAGATATGTGCCAATGCATAAGCATGGGTTGAGAAGGAGGACAGGAAACACAACCAGGAGTGAGACCCTGTCTTGGTCCTCTTGACAATAGTAGAACCCATGGCTGTTGTGTCAAACTCTAAGCTTCCTGGGCAAAAATTTTTAATTGCCATCAGTGCTTGTGAGAACTGAACTTGGGTCTCTTCAGAGAAGTCTGGCTTTCCTTCGAATGGGGGTTTAATACTGGCAGTTGCCTGCCTTTCATGAGCCTCAGCCTGCACTGATTACTTCTGGAAATTCTGGCCTTGCATCTTGGGCTCTTTAAGACACCGTAATGTTCAGACTTTTCCTGGAGGACAGTTGTTCTTCAAAAGAGGCAGTTTATTTTATTTTTAATTTTTTTTTTTTTTTTGAGGGGCTCAATATCCTCAGGCTCAAGGATGTTCTGCTTACTCTCATTAGGAAAGACAGTGGAGTAAACATGCTTTCCTGCATGCAGTGTTATGATTTGTGGCTTATTAGATGATTTCTATGCATATGGATAAGTGTTTTTTCAATGGGCATAGGGCAGTACTGGTGCAGTGCTCCTGGTGCAGGGCTGTGCAGGAGGCTGCCTTCCTTCTCTGCCTTGGCTGTGGCACAGGTGAAAATGCTTCCAGCCCCCCCACACTTGAGCAGGGTGCTGATTGAGCAGCTTTTTGACTGGGCAGGGGGACTGAAGGGGAGCCACCACTGGCCCCACACATCCTGGGTGTGGAGGAAGCTGCTGTACATCTCTGCAGGTAACAACAGCACAGACTCCCTGAGAAACTGGTTTATTTTCTTTTCTTCCCCTGTCCAAAAGCCACTCTCCCACGCTGGGAGAGATCAGAGTTACAGCAGGCACAGATGTTGAACCAGCTGGTTTCTTAAGGGATAATAGAATTGAGAATTTGCTGCCCAGAGCTCACAGTCAGCAAAGATAAATCCCCCTCTCTGCCTTTTCCTGTTCCTTAATGTCAGATATTTCCATCCTGGCTGTGAGAAGGAAAACTAGATATACAAGACTGCTCTGGACCACCAGGTCTTTACAAAGATCACTTTAATATCATAAAGCAGCAGTTGTTATGGGAGTGCATGACCTACAAGATTACTTAGTTCCAGAGTTTGAAAAACTGTGGATGCTACTAGTCAACATGGAAATATTTCCATCTCTGTGAAGGCAGAAAAGGCTTCTTAACACCTTGCCTCCTTTCCCAAAGCATATAGAGAGTTGCATAAAAAAATAAACAGATTAAAAAATAATTTCCAGGGCCAGTAGTTCTTTATTAGCCTCATTAAGTTTAGCTAGCTTCAGGGGATAGGGGGAGGTGGCCTCTGACACTATGTTAGCAGCAAATTAGGAAACAGTTTGCTCTTAGAAGTACACCCAAGCTGAACTCGCAGCATCCCGCACAGCAGGAACAAGTCCAATTGGCATCAGGTCCTCCTAAAGCAGCTGCAGTCTCTCCACTTCTAAGGTGAGTAGGTGTATGCCTCTTGACATAAGACCTCAGAAAGGGTAGCTACTTCTGTAGGACTTCCCTTGGCACAGCTGTCCCTCATGAGCCATCACAGGGTAGCTGTGAGCTCTGGCTTCAGCATCCACAGTATAAAATGGAAGCTGTTGAGAGGGAGACTCCTTTCCTGTGAGCTGTGGATGCAGTTCAGGCAGCTGTTGGTGAGTAAAAAAAAAGAAATAAGCTCTTTAATTTCATATTAACGTATCTCTGAATCTCAAATGGTTGTGCTTGGTGGTCACACAATGTTCTTTTTGCCATTTAAAGGACCTTTAAGGGTTGGGGTGGGGGGTGGAGAGAGGAGAGTAAGACTGGTAAATGTGGTATTTCAGATAAAGGTTTTTCTCTGTTAAATAGCAGATCCAGGTTATTTTTCCTTTAGTAAGGCTATTTATCTAGCAGAATGAGACGTATTGGCACTCCTGCTGAAAGGAGTAGTCTGAAATAATTATTGTTGGTAACATTCCAAGTGCAGACAAGCTGTAAAGAGCAGAGGGTATAAGATGATTAGTAGCTTCTGTTGAACACTGAATCAGAAGGGATTCTGTATAAGCGATGCCTGATCTTGTTTTGAATATGGTTTTTCTTTGCTATTGTGGTATGTGTGATGGTACCTGTGGTCTCTGGAGTAACCTATGAATTTTAAAACAAAATATGTGGTTTGAATTAGATCTGTCTTTATAGGTTACTTAACTATAGTCTTATGCTTACTGGACTAGTAAAATTTGAGTTGTAAATGACCCTGGATGAGCAGTTTGGTAGATTGTTCCAGTTGCTGTTTGATCATAGAATGGTTTGGGTTGGAAGGGACCTTAAAGATCATCAAGTTCCAACTCCCCTGCCATGGGCAGGGACACTTCCCACCAGACCAGGTTGTTCAAAGCCCTCTCCAGCCTGGCTTTGAACATCTCCAGGGATGGGGCCTCAACAGTTTCTCTGGGCAGCCTGTTCTAGTCTCTCACCACCCACACAGTGCACATTTGTGTGATGTTATAGGTATGGTGGGGGATGTGCTGCTTTTTTTGGAAAAGCTCTTTTTTAAAAAAAAAAACAAAACAAAAAACCAAAAAACACCCTTCTGCGTTTTCTTTACTTTCTTTAATAAAGTAAAAAACCACCTTCTTTAGTGTTTTGTGGGATAAATACTGCCTTAACTCAGGTGTATGTTATCAATTGCTAATGGCTGTAAGGCATTAGAGAGGTAGAAGTGACCATGTGTCTCGGGTCAGGTGTGTTCAATTACCTAATTGGAGAGTGGCTGGATGCCTGGAGCAGGCTTCCTAGAGGGGTGGTCTATGCTCCAAGCCTGGCAGTGTTTAAGAGGCATTTGGGCAATGTCCTTAATAACGTGCTTTAATTTCCAGTCAGCTCTGAAGTGCTCAGTGGTTGTTTTAGGTCCCTTCTGACTGGAATTATAGTCTTCTCCCTCTCATGCGTCTCCTCGTGTCTGTGGCAATGAAGTGGAACATTAAGGGGCAGTGGTGTTCAGGTGGTATCTGCTGCTGTTTGGTTTGGCATGTCATGAGTGGTGGGCATTAATCAGAGTCTGTGGAGCAGAAAACAACTAACTTTGTGATGAGACCTCTGGGCAGAACTCTGCTACCTGTATGCAAAGAGGAAAAAAATAGACATTTCTGTAGTGTGTATTTTTATCTAAAAAAATATGCAAGTAGTTATGTATTTGCCTTGCTTTGTAGAAGTGATGCTGGACCAGACTTTAGGCGGAAGAGTTGTCTTAAGTCTATTTCTTTCATTCTGTTTCTCTACCTCATAAGAATATTCTAATCGCACGCTGCCAGTCCACAAACTGTTGTACCAAAGCAGGGTGACATGGGGCAAATGTCCACCCCCTGACCTACCTGAGCAGTAACTGGAAGGAAGGAGGAGAGTCAGAAGGGCTTTACAGGGAAGCACAGGGTAATATCAGGAGAAATTAAATTGCATTTAAATGCAAGGAGGGAAAACCTTGCATTTTTTAATTTTAACTGCAGGAAATCTTTAGTTGTTTGGTTGAGTCGCTCCCTACTTAAAAGGCAGACAGATATTCTTGTAAGGCTATTTAATTTGGAGCTGATAAATTATTGGATCACTATACTGCTGATAAAATGCACTCTTTTTTTCCTGTTTGGCCCCAGACACAACCTACAACAACCTGTAGGCAGGAATCAAGTATTACTGAGTGATCAAGCTTGGAAATCTACTTTTTTTTTATTTGGCAATCATTCACTTTATTATATATACATATTTAAAGTCTGTACATTGTAAAATACAAAATAAAAGCGTTTCTTTATAAGTTACAAAATTAAACAGCTACATTTGTCTGTAGTTTAGCCATCATTTAATTAAAAAATGGAGAGGAATCTTGTTGAGCCATCATTATATTCATTCACAATAACCTTGGTATAAAACATCCATACAGAGTAAGTGTACAAAATAGTGTACAGTTCATATAAGCTGTGCAAAGACAGCAAAGTTCAGTCAAAAATCAAAGAGGCATATCCACTTTCCTCTGTCCACACCATGGATAGCAGAAGCAAAGTGGAAAATAAGCACAGGCCTATGGGCAAAACAGTGGGTTAGACAGTGCTTCTAATATAATATTGATGCATAAATTAAAATGGAAAGCAAATAAATATATAAGGTCTCCATTACACAAGGCACGCTTGCATTATACCTTAGAAGTCACTCTGGGGATTTCAATGGGTCTGTTCCCCAAGTATCATGCTATTTGGGAGCCAGCACTTGGTCTGTGTCCCTCAATAACTTTATTTACTTTTGGAGGGAAGGGTTGCTACATCAGACTAGTCCTCAGGGTTTTGAAATCTTAGTAGTATCTGGAAATTCACTTGGAAAGGTAGTAAAAATGGCCACAGCTTTTATATTGTATTTTTTGTTGTTTCTTATCTGGAAGAAAAAAAATCTTAGGAGGCTATACTTTTCTCCCTGCTATAAAGCAAGGAGCTGCCTATTGCTTGCTTTCAGGAGAAGGTAGCTAATTGAGCAAATGTTGATTGTTAAGCAGAGGGGGTTATAAAAAGGTTTGCAGATGCTATGAATATGAAAACCTCCACATGGGGCAGAAAAATAAGGGATACCTATAAGCGGAAAGTCTTGCAGCTATGTGATAAAGAACCTGCACTGGAGAAGCTTGTGGACGTTTGGGTGGGACATCACCTCTTCAATTTATAGCGCTCTGTTTTATTTACATCTTTGCAATGTCCCCATGTGATGGTAGGGGCGGGCAGGGTGATCTAAGAGACTGTTATTTCCTCCTCTTCCTCTTCCCCTTCATCATCCTCTTCCTCTGAGTCTGAGAAGTCTGAAGGTTTGCTGGGGCTGCTAGAATGGGATGGAGAAGGAGACATCTGGGAGTCCAGTCTGTCCCGCAAGTGCAGATGTTCTGGGGACTGGTGGTAGGTTAAGGGATGCCGGGGGCTCGGTGGGCACACGGGGGGAACTTCCTCCTCTTCCTCCTCCTCTCCTGAACATTTCTTCCCTACGTCACTGAGGTCTGGGTGAGGATTGAACTTGGTGGGTAGGGTCTGTTCTCTGCAGCCACCAGAAGAGAGGAGCTCTCTTTCTTTGGAGTTCCTCCACTTCATCCTCCTGTTCTGGAACCAGATCTTCACCTAGGGAGGGGAAAACCACCCAGAAATGAAATGGTTGAGTAAAACAAGGACCAGGAAAGGCCTTTAGGTTGCACCCTTGAAATCCTGCTCATGCTCATACTGAAGCTAACGGAAACCACAGAACCTGATCTTTGAGGACACTAGAAGAGGGGCTGGGGGGCAATAAGGCTGTGGTCTGTCCCACTTGTCCAGCTGGGACTTGTGCTGCTTTCTCGGCTCTATTGATGTTCACAGCCTCGTAACTTGCTTTGGGCTTTATCTGGTCATGGGCGGTTCTCTGTGCTTCTGTTCCCTTCTCCTCCTCTTCTCCCAAGCTTCTCCCAGGGGTGGAGGGCCTAACTCCCCGCACCCCCCTTTGCCCTCCCCACCTAGCACCCCTCTCACCTGCGAGTCCTTGAGGCCCAGCTTGGCTGCCAACTTCTTCCTATCGGGTTTGCTGATGTACTTCTGCTTCTGGAACATCTTCTCCAGCGCCTTGCGCTGCACGTCGGAGAAGACGGCCCGACGGAGCATGCCACGGCGGGGCTTTCCGCGGGCAGCCAGCGGCCAGGAGAAGGTGCCAGGGATGGGGACCACAGCGGAGGTAGCTGCTGGGGGAACACACAGCAATGAGAGGAGCAAAGTCTGGACCCCCCCTCTACCCCCTCCCTGCCCTGTGGGTGGACACCCATCAACCTGGGGCTGTGGAAAAAGAGCTTTAGGCTTAAGTAAGTGCCTCCCTTTCAGCCAGTGATCACTGGGATTAGATCTATCAATTCAAACGTAGAAAATGGATCAATAGTGGCTGGTTTTGTTGGGAGATTCAAAGGTCTCTGGCCTGAAAAGGCAAAGTGAGGCGTACCAGCTAAAATAGAGGTATAATAAAAAAGCCTTCCCTCCCACTCAGAAGCATTTGATTATTTTTTTTCAGACGCTTTTATAATTTCAGATGCTTTATTATGCTTGAGATGAAAATGAGGACTTTTCTGGTTCTGAATAAAACCGCTCCTCTTCAGATGCAGTTTTGATCACTCGGTATTCATCTTTTTATATTAATCTCTTCTCTCCCCCCTCCAAAGTTGGAGAATTCAAGGCGAAGACATGAAAAGTAACAGCTAATTAGCACATTGCCTGGTTCCCAATGGCATTGGTATGATAAAAAGGGCAGTTTCGCCTTTAAAAAAAAAAAAAAAAAAGGAGGGGGGGGAGCCTCCCCAAGAGAGACAGAGATGCTAATGAAGCGTGAATGGTAATTGTGTAGTAATGAACTAACAGAAAAAGACTGAGGACAAGCAGCTAACGCCATATATTATTGGAACAAAAGAGATTTACACTTTCAAACTAAACACAACGGCATGCCAGGCTCCTCGGGAGAATACTGATGGCACAATCGTCTCTTTCCCCAAATCATTTTCATTAAATGGACATGAAAAGCTATTTATAAAGCTCAAGTTGTTTTTGTTAGGCTATTCACATGCCGGAGAAAGGAAGCAAATTCCATTATCCGAAGGATGAATGGAAGAGCTTGGGTTATTTTTTTTTCCTCTCTCCCTTTCCCTGTTTTCTTTTTAAATTAATAGCTTGTTTGTGTAATTAGATTTCTTTCTCTTTTTTTTTTTTTTTTCTTTTTTAATTGTTCTTTCTGCATCATAACACTTCAGCGCAGTCGTACCCCCCCCACCCCCGGTATCCTGCTTTCTCGCGTCGGCTGAATATACCACCGGCGGGCTAAACGAGAAGCCAGGAAGCGGGGAGACCGCCGTTATAACGGGGGGAAAGTTTTGGAGAAGTGTGGGGGGGAAGAGGGCGGAGAAGAGCTTGGCAGGGGAGCTCTGCCCTCCCTCCTGCGTGGAGGGCGGCGGCGGGGGCTGCGCGGGCGCGGAGCGCGGGCGGGAGCTGACCGCTCCCCGCGTGGTGCTGAACAGCGGTGGCGCGGCCCCGGGACGGGGGGGCGGAGGAGGAGGAGGAGAAGGAAGGGGACCCCGCCTCGCCTGGGGACCGTGACAATTCCCGGCTAATTTGCCCATCAGCGCGGGGAGCGAGCCGGGAGCGTCAGGCAGTCACTGCCTGTGCTAAATCGGGCATCAAATTGGCGCGACTGATGCTTGAATGTTGTACTCCCTCCAACCTCTGAACTGGAGCATAACCCCCCGGGAGTCGGCGGGGGGGGGGACGGGAAGTGGGGGACACGGCGCGGGAACACGGAGAAATATCACCGGGGTCCGTCCGGAGACAGAGAGAGGGGATTTTAGAGACCTACCTGGGAAATAGGAAGATCTGATAAAGGGCTGGAAGGAGCCTTCAAAGTACGGAAAGGAGAAAGTCTTGGGAGGGACGCTCTGAAGCAACGCAGGGGAAGTTTCTGGTGAATAAATAAAAAGTGAAATTAAGCAGAGGGTTACCGCTGGTTGGACGCGGCTGACGGTCCGTCGCTTGGTTTGGGGACCGACGCGGTGGTATTGCTCTCCCCCCCTGCCCCCCGTTCCAAAAAAGAGTCAGACTGAGCTGGGAACCGCCTAGGAAAAGCAGCGTTTTTTGGCTGCGAGGGTTTTGCCAGCAAAGCGGCCCCCGGGATGGCAGGGTCACCCGGGGGACCCGCCGGTGCCACCCTCCGCCTGCTCTTCCCGCCCGTCCTGCGGCCGCTCCGGGGGCGGTGGAGCGGGACCAGCAGCCCTTAAACACCGGCAGCACCGGAGGGCTCCGCGGCTCGGTACCAGGCTATCCCTCCCTTTCCTATAACCCTCCCCCGCCATCGCCCCCCTCCTGCGGGCGGTGGGTTCCGCCGAGACCCGGAGCCCGGGGGGGGTCGGGAGCGGGGACCACTTACCGGTGCGGGGCGCGGAGGAGAGGATGGCGTTGACCCCAAACTTGAGGAAAGTGGAGTCGCTGGTGGATGTCTGTGGCGAACAGATCCTTCTGGAGCCGGCGGCGGTGGTGGAGCTGGCGAGCTCCGGCGTCCCGGAGTCCGTCCTGGTCGCCGAGGTCGGGGGGGACATGCTGGGCGGGGGGGCAGTCCTGGGCAGGTAACCGGCGGGCCTGCTGATCCGGATCAAATCTTCCACCAGGAAGCTGGAATGGCTGGAAAAAGCTGATTGCAGCGACTGAGGCAAGGTGAGGGTGGGGGTCGGCCGCAGGAGGCTGGGGTAGACGGCCGGGGGGGCGATGAGGCTGGGGAACATCATCGCAGGGGCCGGCCGCCGAGCAGGGCTGGGGCCGCTCGCTTGTTTGTTTGCTTGCCTTTTTTTTTTTTTTTTTTTTCTTTTTTTTTTTTTTTTTTTTTTTTTTGGGGTGTGTGTGTATTAAATTCCATCAGATGTAATTTAACATGGAGGTTCTGGCTTTAGATCTGACACCTCCTCTGAGCTTCTTTTTGTACCTTCCCAAAGGCTGGTTTCTGCTTTTGGGGCAATCTCGTTTCGTAAAGATCCAGCGAGCGAGCCTGGCGGGGTTCTCTCTGCCCCTTTACTCCTGGACGATGGGTTTTATAGTGGTCAGCCCCGCTGAGGCTCTTTCAAAAGTGACAGCCCCAACAATGGGGTTCAACAAAGTTCTCCACTTGAGCTTCATTCAGGGCGAGCTCCGGGCTTCTCCATTGGTCCGGGGCTGCAATTTATGATTGGATTAGACTTCATAAGCAACCGGGGCACAATGGCCCCGCCACAAAGAAAGTGTAGTCATCAATTTTGCATATTGACCGCCTCTTTGGAATACAGCGCTCCAAAGGCTCCCAGCAGGGTTTTGTTCAGAGGCAACACACACAGGCTAATTAAATGCCTATTTAAAAGTTTCAAATGACATCTTGCCTCGTAGAAAGGGAATTATTTAAAGAAAGCACTAAATTTATTTGCCGCTCCCCTGCTGAGTTTAGGAAATAAATCAATAAATATTCATATAAACTTATCTGCGGGCTCTCAGAAAAGCACGGGTTTTGTGGGATGGAAAATACAAATTAGAAAACGTGGAACTAAGCTCTGTTGGGGGGGGGGTCCCATCGTGGTTTGAGCGCATTCTGCCCCCTGCTATTAGTGTGAGGCAAAACTTGTGCGTGTTGTTGGGGTTATTTTTCTATCTGCACGGCAAAGGGCCGGCAGAAAGTGAATTTGGGGTGTTAACCTCTACTTTAAGGACCCGAGCTTCCTAAGTGGTGCGTATGTGTGCTCAGGCAAGGGGCTTGCCCGTTTTGGACCGAAATGTAAGCTTTTTTGTAGCCGGTAAGAATTCTGCTCCGAGAAAATCTGAACATCGAACGTGGAAAAGATCTGAAGAGCTTTGTGGAATCAGAGCAGCCCCCTCAGGTGCTCAATCTGTTGATCCTCTTAAGTTCATCTACATTAAAAATAGCGGAAACGAAGGCAACGCTGTAGCATTTGGATCTTTTTTGGCTAAACTATTCTGAGCTAGTCTCAGTTTTATCGGTGCCGGTGGCTCGAAGCCTCCTCGCCGCCGCCGAATTCACCTGAATTCGCTTTTTAGCTGTGCCAGTGCGCAGAATTTCGGGAGGTGTGTTCAGCTGGGTGCCGCAGAGCCCAAAGTCCCTCAGCTTTCGCGCAAGGGACAAATGACATCGTCTCGCAGAAAAGTAGAAAACGGGGATTTCTCTGGCAGAGAGGTTTTGTCTGCGGTGGCAAATATGGAAATAAGCGCGAGTGTAGTTAATTTCCTTTGGAGTTGGGCGATGAAAGCAACTATTGAGAGTGGTTTTACCTGATTTCTCTGTTAAAGACTATAACAGATGTGTTAAATGTCCTATGTTTTAAAAGCACCCTATTCAGTCCTTTGGTGTGGCTGAACCTTTGCAAGCAGAAGTGTGCAGCTCAACCATGCAGCCTTTATCCTATTAACCATGAACTAACTGTCACCTTCAGCTGTTTTCCCTTTTTACTTTTTAACACAAAGCTTTCTCAAAAATCTTATTAACCAGCTTTATTTCTCTCGATGGTTTTTGTCCGGACGTTTTGTGTTGATTATCTCCATGTCGATGCTTTAACCATTCAATAAAAGTGCATCTGCGATTTATATCACATTAGGGAAGAAAGAAAGTCTGTTAAACCTCTCCCTTGATTCAAATCAAAAAGTTATTTATTAGAGAGGACGGAATCAGCCCTCGAAATTGTATGATCCTGACAAGCTTTCCCGGTGCTGTTCGCCGGCCTCCAGCAGATGAGCATCTGCAGAAGGCTGACTTGGAAGATCTGAAAGCATCACTTTGAAATAAAACCTCGCTGGAGGTTCCCCCCCCCCTCCACCTCCTGCC